ATCCCAAAAATCCCATAAAATCCCATAAAACCCCAAAACCCCAAAACCCCAAAACCCCAAAACCCCAAAGAGATGATTAGGTATTGAAATGCTTATTCAATCTCCCAGCTCTGCTTTTGAACATAGTACATGTATCCAACTCTCTGCTCATCGTCTTCTTCAACAGCTATATCGTTATCTAAAGTGTCAATCAGCATCTCTCCACAGAGGTAGCATTCTTCCTTGAGTCTCATGTCTATTTGACTATAAAGGTCTTCAACTCTGTCTTGGTCTTCGGCTGATAAGGTTGCCCTTTCGGTCATAGTGTTACTTCCAGGAGCAATAGAGTTTCTTAATCTCTTAGTGAGACCTGTGAACCATGACATTGCTCTATCTTGTGGGTCAAAGCTGCCTTCTTCTTGCTCTAAGTATTCAGCCTTACTCTGAGTTGTCCTGATTTCTCCAGAAAATGCTTTGAGAAGGTCAACTTTGGATATTAATTTATAGTTCTTTGTCTCGTAACTTTCTAGTTCATCCACTAGTCATTCTCGATGGAATCCATGCCCACAGTGGAAGGCGTAAAAGGTCTGCTTGAGCAAAGGAGTGAAGCAAAGCTCACAAGTCTGTGATGGATGCACACTAATGAACTTATTTTTAAACTTCCTGTTCTTATCTCTTAGATCTTCAGCGTTCTTACTTTGTTCTGAAAGTTCATTTTTAAGGTTGGAGATCCTATCATTGTAGAGCTTGAGAGACTCACAGAGCTTGTCCTTCAAGATCTCTACTTTTGTGTCATCAGGGAAGAAGGGAAGGAGATCATCTACCTTGAGAATATCTTTTGTCTCATCTAACAACTCTAAGCATTTTTGGACATTATCTTGGCTACTTCCTTCTCTTCTCAGTGCAGGCTGCTTGTTAAGGATTTCCTTTGCAATTTTTACCCAAAGATTCTTCTTAAGTTTAGTATCAATGAAACTTTTTGATGCGTATTTCTTGGCTAATTCAAAATCTCTCTGGGATAGGGCTAAATCTACTGCCTTTTCGTAGAGTCCAAGAATACCGTAGATAATTATCTGTCCCTTCTTGAGAAGTTCTTCTCCAGACTTGCCATGCCTTTTGTCATTTATGCTCTGATGGCACTGGTTGAAAGCATATTCAAGGTCAAGGTAAATACTATGCTTACCTTCCTTGATTTTCTCTAAATCCTGGAGGTAGCCGAGCATGTGGTCGAGGCTCTTCATCTTGGTCATGAAATAGAAGGCCATGTTATGGACACTTTTCTCTGTTCATTTAAGCCTCTGGATACAGTACCTTTCCAAGAAGCTGAGAATTATGCCTACCTTCTCCTCGTCATCAGTCCTGACATCAGCGAAGCTTGAGACTAGCTTAGAGAAGTCAATATTTTTGAACTCTTCCTTCTTGAGTGTTTCAAGGGTGTATTCCAGTTCTTTCTGGAGGAACACCAAGCAGTATTTGTACATCTGCTTGAATCTTTCATTTTCATCTTCAATCTTAGTCAAGAGCTCAATAGCTCACCTGTATTCCTTTTTGTTGATGTGGTCTAGAGAGGATGGCATAGGGAGCTCTTACCTTTCGGAGTCTGAAAACAGTCATCAGCCTGGCCATGATTTAGTAGGATCTGCTCAATCTCTTTCTTATGGTTAAAATTGTTATCAACAAATTCCCAGAAGTTATTCTTTGTCTCTGCAAGGTAAAGTTTTTGGTTGGCAACGTTCTTCTCGTCCTTCTCAGCATCAGCTTTGATCCTCATCTTGTTGATATCGTTGAGCTTTAGCTCAACGATCCAAGTTCAGAGCAGGATCTTCTGTGGCTTATAATCTCTATGTGGATTCCTGGTGGATAATATTTTGATTCTCTTCAGGAACAACTCTAGATATGTACATAAATGCTGATGAAGATTGTTGTTAAGAAACTTTAGAGTCACCTCTTCAAAACTCTTGTTTGACTTAGCATAGTATTCTGCAGATCTGGTGTAATTCCCGGACTCAAAGATTTGGTCAGCCACACAACCTGCAATGAGCGGTTTGTATTTTGGATCTTGACATAGCTTATCTGCGTCCTTGTATTTCTTAATTTTGAAGTAATCAATCCAGATATTGTTGTTCTCATGGTCGTATTCCAAGTAGTATATCTTCCTGTTAGAGTGCATCCAGACATTCTGAATTAAATTATCATGGCAGAGACCTAGCATTGCTGCTCCATTTCCGATATTATTGGTTGACACTATTCTCTTAGTGATCTTAGAGTAAATATTGATGGAGGTCTCCATGAGGAAAATCACATGCCATTTCGTCACCATACAATTGAGTGGGTAATCAGTCGAACTTCCGTACCTTGAGCCTTGGACTTCAGGATATTTATAGACTTTAATCATCTCCCTAACGATGGCACTCTCACTGTTTCGGAGGTTATCCTTGAACTCTATGCAATAGAAGCAGGAGTCTGACTGCCATCCGACTGAGTGGATTGTCTCATCCAGGTTCTCATGAATACTTAGGGATGGCTGGAATCTAAGTCTAATATCTCTAGAGTTCTGGAACCCACTTTGGTCCTTCAGAGTATCATGAATAATGGAATTCTGGACTCTGCTGAGCTCCTTTTTGCTCTTTGCAAAAATGTCAGGAATAGGGAGACTTACAGCTCCCCAGAATTGGTAGAGGGAGATGTCAGTAATTGCAATTATTCCCCTCTCCTCTTCAGTTTTGAAGGTACAGATATCATAAATTCTTCTTTTGGGGTTGATTTCGTATACTTCTCCAATAGATTTATCAGTTTTGATACTCCCTTTCTTCTCAGCTATAAATCTTCCGTAAAAGATAGTGCTAAGGTTTGTGCCAAACAGGACTTCAAAGATCCTTCCTTCAGGGTTATCCTCTTCTGGGCTGACGACGGTACAGCATGAGATCTCCTCAGAGGAATCAAATGAGGCGATCTTACTCAGTGAGCCCAATTCGGATAGATAGAAAAGCTCATGCTTGCCTTTCTCTGACTTTGCGCCAATGACACAGTGAACTCCTTTGTCATCAGGTTGGATGAACAGCAAGGTGTGATTCTTGATCTTGCTCGTATTAATCTCATCAGGGATTTCCCCTAGCTTCATGGTAAACAGCTTGTCATCGTTGGTATATATCCATAATCTATTGTTCTTGACTGCTAACTTCTTAATGTACCGAATTGAGCCCTCAACTGAGTAATCAGAGATATGGAAGGCTTGTTCAATTTCCTTTGTGATATCTGACTCTTGGAATCCAACCTTGTGGCCCTCCTCTTCATCTGCAGTGTACTTGTACTCTTCTCGTCCTCTGTACATGAAATATTTTATAAAATCTATTGTGAAGGTTTCCCAGGGGTTTTGGGGTTTTGGGGTTTTGGGGTTTTGGGG